AATCTCATAAAAGTGCTTGGAGCATTAGTTAACCCAAAAGGCATAACTAGCCACTCATACAACCCATATTTAGTTTTAAAAGCTGTTTTCCACTCATCTCCTTCTCTAATTCTAATTTGATGATATCCACTTTTCAAGTCAATTTTAGAGAAGATACAAGCACCATACAATTCATCCAACAAGTCATCTAACCTAGGAATGGGATGTCTATACTTTACCGTGATGTTATTGATAGCTCTACAATCTGTGCACATCCTCCAAGTTCCATCTTTCTTAGGGACTAGAATGACTGGGACTGCACATGGTCTCAAGCTTTCTTTAACCCACCCCTTTTGCATTAAGTCTTCAACTTGCTTTTGAATCTCCTTAGTTTCTTGGGGATTGCTTCGATAGGCTGGTCTATTAGGCAATGAAGCTCCTGGAATAAGGTCAATTTGGTGCTCAATACCCCTAAGAGGGGGTAGACCTATAGGCACTTCTTTGGGAAAAACATCTTCAAAATCCTGCAACAAAGAAGAAACTCTTTTGGAAGAGAGTTAGTAAAACATGGACTGTTTGATTTTCTTTCTTTACTCAAAAGTAAAAGTATTGGCTTTCTCAATTGCATAGCTCTTTTGACTTCTTTTTCTTTTATAAACATATTTGATTTTTTTTCTCTCTTTCTCTTTTTCTTCCTCTTTTTCCTTTTTCTTTTCACTCTCTTTTTCTTTTCTCTCTCTTTTTCTTTTCTTTCTTCTTTTCTTTTCTTTCTCATTTTTAGTTGATCCTCACTAACTTCTCTTGGAACCAAAGGTGCAAGAGTAGTTTTGCGGTCTTTATGCATAAAAGAGAACTTATTAGTAAAACCATCATGCATAACTCTCCTATCATACTACCATGGTCTCCCAAGAAGTAAATGACAAGCCTCCATAGGCACCACATCACACAAAACAGAATCTTCATATTTCCCTATTGAAAAACCCACTTCAACTTGCCTATTCATGGTCATCTCACCATCTTCACTAAGCCATTAAAGTTTGTAAGGTCGCGGGTGTGGCTTAGTCTCCAAATTCATTTTTGAAACCAACCATGCACTAGCCACGTTAGTGCAACTCCCACCATCAATGATCAAAGAGCACAACTTCCCTTGAATGAGGCACCTTGCATGAAAAATATTTTCTCTTTGACAATCATCCAATTCAACTGATTGACTACCCAACATCCTTCTAATCATGAACAGATCTCCTTCTAACTCTCTTTCATCGTCATGCTCATTTTCATCACTAGATGAAGAATCTGAAGAAGATTCACTAATTATTTCTCCATCCTCCTTAAGTAACATAGTCTTCTTAGTGGGACATTGAGAAGCTATTTGACCTCTTCCCAAACATTTGAAGCACTTAACCTCACTACTTCTTGTTTTCTTAAGTGCCTCATCAGACTTATTTTGATTTCTATGAGCTATAACATTGGAATTGCTTGTTGATGATCCTCCCTCCTTCTTATTTTTGTCCTTCCAACTAGGAGAGTGAAAATTAGATGAACTCCTCCTCATGGCACCCTTTCTCTTAAATTGTTGTTCCACCTTAGAAACTTGATGTACTAAATCCTCCAACTCAACATAATTTTGCACCTCCACAACATCTCTTATATCACTCTTTAGCCCATGTAGGAATCGGGCCATAGTAGCCTCCCGCGCCTCCATAACATTAGCCCTAATCATGGAAACCTCCATCTCTTTGTAATATTCATCAACACCTCTACTATCTTGTATGAGTCTTTGGAGCTTGTTGTGAAGATCTCTTTGATAATGAGAAGGAACAAATCTTCTTCTCATCAACCTCTTCATTTCTTCCCAACTTTTCACCAAGGGTTCTTCATATCTCACCCTTTCCCTTTCTAATTGGTTCCACCAAATGAGAGCATAATCAGTGAATTCCATGGCTGCCACCCTCATCTTTTTATCTTCTGTGTAATTATGGCATGCAAACAGTTGCTCAATTTTTATTTCCCACTTCAAATATGCTTCTGGATCACTCTTTCCTTGAAAAAAGGGTATGTTCAGCTTTACTCCTTCAATTCTGTTATCTCTAACATCACCTTCATTATTTCTCCTTCTCCTCCTTCTACCTCCACCATCATCATCATTTCCTTGATTTTCTAGTTGTTCAATTCGCCCATACAACTCCTCGGTATGTTCTGTCAACATTCTTTGCATTTGGGCTGTAATGACATCAATCAATAATCTATTGTCACCCCCTAGAGGAGGGGTACCACCACCTGCACCTGCCATCTTTCAAGTAAAAAAAAAGAAAGGACCAAACAAATGAAGTAATAGGACCTCACCACTCTTCTCACGTGTTTGCACTCAAAGATGTACCACTCGTGTTTACTCTCAATTTGGCTTTTGTATAATATGCACTCTTGCCTTTTTCCACTCGTTCTCTGACTTATGGTTCTTACAAGAATCAAACAATCTATAGTTCAAGAATCACTTTCAACTGTAGCAATCACAAGGAATAAAACAGAATCGTAGTACCAACAAAGGACAAGTAGCAAAGAATAATTTTACTACTAACAACAAGCAAGACAAATCTAAACTGTATGGAAAAAAACAAAGATTAGACAAAGACGCTTGACACTTAGGAATTTTATCAAACAGCTAATGTGCACTGAAATTTAAAAGAAGAACAACTGCCACACACACACACACACACATATATATATATATATATATATATATATTTTTTTCTTTTCTCGATTTGTTTCTTCTTTTGATTCTTTTTTTTTGTTCTTTTCTGCAGAAAACTAATTTCAAACACAACTTTGATATATATATGTAAATAAAATTCAATATCAAAATTGCATAAACAAGCAAGTTTTTTTGAACGAGTACACGTGAATAGTGACAAATGAACGAGTACCATGAATAGTAACAATGAACAGTCCCATGAACAGTGTCGAGGAACAGTACCGCTTTTGAACCTTGCTCTGAATACCAAATGACGACACTCGAATAGAAGGGAAACAATTTAGGGTTAGGTTTTAAGAGTTGATTTGATTGGAAATAGAAAACAGAAAAAAATAAAGGATATCGTAGGCACCACAAATAAGAATATTTGATAAGCCAAGAAGGATCGCCACAAGAATCGAATAATTCTTGATAAGATCAAGTGATGCAAGGAAGAACCCTAACAGAGCAACAACTCACAAAGTGATTCTGAATATTACGTACGTTCATTCTGATTTCCAAATGTTTAATACAACTTAAGTTTATGAGTTTGTCTCATTGTAGGAAATAAAGATAAATTAAAATCCTAATATCCCAAGCAAAGTTAAGTTGCTCAGATGGTTCAGTGAAGGCATTATAAGCTTTGGATATTGGGTTAAAATCCCCACTGTAGCAAATAAAATAATAATAATAATAATAACTAAATCTTTTAGTTGGGCCTCCTAGCTCTCCAAACATTCTATGCATGTGATAGGTTTAGACACCTCCATGTTTGGATCTTTTAATAGTTGGGCCTTTAGCAAATTGGTCACTTTGTATTGCAATGCCTCTTGTGTTTTTCTGAGCCTGCCTCTTGTCATAGGTCCACCTAAGTCTTGGATTGGATCTTGGTCTTGATCCTTCTCGTTATGGGCTTGGGCTTTTATGTCCACATCAAAAGGTTTGTGTACAGTTTATATTTCAAACAATTACATAAAATAAACAAACATCAGTTATTAAAGTCAAGCAAATAAACATGTTATAATACAAGGTAGGGTAAAAGCGAAATTCTTAAGTTTATTTATTAAATCGGCCCATCACTAAATGGGATCAACTCTCTAGGCTTCCCCAGTGGAGTCGCCATCTGTCGCTGCCGTCAAAAGAGGCGGTTGGAGCGATGCGATGGTTTCGACTTTCCGTTTTCGCGCTTTAAAAGTGTGAGGTTAAAATGCCTCTAGGTTGTCCGATAACCGGGCTGGACCTGGGGTGAGGTTTTCGAAAGAGAGCTTTTAGGATGTCCGATAACCAGGCTGGACCTAAAAGCAAATTTTCCGAAGGGGTTCTTATGGAGTCGCTACCGATGTTTTTACCGGAAACACTGAGTTGGGTAAGGGAGATAGTTAGGTATAGGGAAGGTATTAGCTTCCCTACGACGCCCCTTTCCGGTTCCCTATGATAGGTCGGTTATTTCGTAAATAAATTAAAAATGACGCTTTTACCCTTTTATTTGCGGAATTAAAGTATGACGACTACATGGCCCTAATTAATGCATATATAAATGATAAAGCGGTAAAAGAGAGAGAGAGAGAGAGAGTAAAGAAACCTCCAGAGCAAGCTTTGATTAATTCTTTAAAAGGTAGGGTGCGTTTTGGCAGCCCTTCGCTCTTACAACGTCGAATTCTCTCTCGAAACGCTATAAAAAACTCTCTTAAAGACACTCAGAAAACTCCAGAAATGATTCGGAGGGGGACTCTAGGAGAAGAATTCTAAGAAATTATAGGAGGAGAAGTGGAAGAGTTGTGTGAAATGGAGGGGAGAGCGCTCCCCTTTTATAGGGATTCGCGCCTGTCAGGTCGAGACCGTCGTCTCGTCTGGCAAGGTCGAGACGGCCGTCTCGCCATTCGAGACAGCCGTCTCGACTTTGACAAATGGCGAGACCATCATCTCGTTTGGCAAGACGGTGGTATCGACATGCCAAATGGCGAGAGGGTCGTCTCGCCAATCGAGAAGGTGGTCTCACCAATGGCAAATGGCGAGACAGCCGTCTCGACTTTGCCATTAGGCGAGACGGCGGTCTCAATAAGCGAGACGGCGGTCTCGACCCCTGAGGTGGAAATCCTTATTTTTTGTTAAAAAAAAGACCTTCTACTCTAATATGGGGCCTAAAAGTCTATCATAGGGATCTTTTAAGCCTTAACCATCTTCGAATTGAAGGTCTTCTGCTCTTTATTTTGCGATCGGACAAGATTTGGGGTCTACATTTTCTGTCCATAACTTCTTCTCCATCCTTACTTTCTTCGTCATCCCTAATTTATTCTCCTTCCTTAACTTCTTCTCCATCCATAATCATTTCTCCCTCCTTAACTTCTTCTACATCCCAAACTTCTTCCCCATCCATATTTTCTTCTTTACTCTTAACTTCTTCTCCATCCAAAACTTCTTCCTCTTCCTTAACTTCTTCTCCTTCCTTCACTTCTTCCCCATCCCAAACTATTTCTCCATCCTTAACTTCTTCTCCTTCACTAACTTGTTCTTCATTCTTAACTTTTTCTCCTTCCCTGACTTCTTCTCCATCCTCCTTAAATTCTTCTGCTTCCATAACTTCATTCTACATCCTAAGTTTCTTCTCCATCCTTAACTATAATCTCCTATCCTATCCATCCAAAAGTTCTTCTCCTTCCTTAACTTCTTCTTCCTTAATTTCTTCTCCATATTTAGTAAATTCTTATCCATTCAAACTTCTTCTCCATCCCAAACTTCTTCCCTATCCATACTTTCTTCTTTATCCTTAACTTCTTCTCCATCCAAAACTTCTCTTAACTTCTTCTCCTTCCCAAACTTCTTCTCTTTCCCTAACTTCTTCTCCTTCCTTAATTTATTCTCCTTCTTACTTAACATCTTCTCTGTCCATAACTTCTTCTCCATCCTTACTTTCTTCGTCATCCCTAATTTCTTATCCTTCCCTAACTTCTTCTCCATCCAAAACTTCTTCTTCTTCCTTAACTTCTTCTCCTTCCTTCACTTCTTCCCCATCCCAAACTATTTCTCCATCCTTAACTTCTTCTCCTTCCCTAAGTTGTTCTTCATTCTTAACATTTTCTCCTTCCCTAACTTCTTCTCCATCCTCCTTAACTTCTTCTGCTTCCTTAACTTCATTCTACATCCCAAGTTTCTTCTCCATCCTAAACTATAATCTCTTATCCTATCCATCCAAAAGTTTTCCTCCTTCCTTAACTTCTTCTTCCTTAATTTCTTCTCCATACTTAGTAGATTCTTCTCCATTCCAAACTTCTTCTTCATCCCAAACTTCTTCCCCATCCATACTTTCTTCTTTATCCTTAACTTCTTCTCCATCCAAAACTTCTTCTTCTTTAACTTCTTCTCCTTCCTAAACTTCTTCTTCTCCATACTTCGATTCTTCTCGTCCATTACAAACTTCTCCTCACTCCCAAACTTCTTCTCCATCCTTAACTTCTTCTCCATCCCAAACTTCTTCTTCTTCCCTAACTTCTTCTCGTTCCTTAATTTTTCTCCTTCTTCCTTAACATCTTCTCTGTCCATAACTTCTTCTCGATCCTTACTTTCTTCGTCATCCCTAATTTCTTCTCCTTCCTTAACTTCTTCTCCATCCATAATCATTTCTCCCTACTTAACTTCTTCTCCATCCCAAACTTCTTCCCCATCCATACTTTCTTCTCTACCCTTAACTTCTTCTCCATCCAAAACTTCTTCTTCTCCCTTAATTTCTTCTCCATCCCAAACTTTTTCTCTTTCCCTAACTTCTTCTCCTTCCTTCATTTCTTCTCCTTCTTCCTTAACATCTTTTCGTCCATAACTTCTTCTCCATCCTTACTTCGTCATCCCTAATTTCTAGTCCTTCCTTAACTTCTTCTCCATCCATAATCATTTCTTCCTCCTTAACTTCTTCTCCATCCTAAACTTCATCCCCATCCATACTTTCTTCTTTACCCTTAACTTTTTTCCATCCAAAACTTCTTCTTCCTTAACTTCTTCTCCTTCCTTCACTTCTTCCTCATCCCAAACTATTTCTCCATCCTTAACTTCTTCTCCTTCCTTAACTTGATCTTCATTCTTACGTTTTTCTCCTTCCCTAACTTCTTCTACATCCTCCTTAACTTCATTCTACATCCCAAGTTTCTTCTCCATCCTTAACTATAATCTCTTATCCTATCCATCCAAAAGTTCTTCTCCTTCCTTAACTTCTTCTTCCTTAATTTCTTCTCCATACTGAGTAGATTCTTATCCATTCCAAACTTCTTCTCCATCCCAAACTTCTTCCCTATCCATACTTTCTTCTTTATCCTTAACTTCTTCGCTATCCAAAACTTCTTCTTACTTAACTTCTTCTCCCTTCTAAACTTGTTCTTCCTTAATTTCTTCTCCATACTTCGATTCTTCTCCTCCATCCCAAACTTGTTCTCCATCCTTAACTTCTTCTCCATCCCAAACTTCTTCTCTTTCCCTAACTTCTTCTCTTTCCTTAATTTCTTCTCCTTCTTTACCATCTTCTCTGTCCATAACTTCTTCTCCATCCTTACTTTCTTCGTCATCCCTAATTTCTTCTCCTTCCTTAACTTCTTCTCCAACCATAATCATTTCTCCCTCCTTAACTTCTTCTCCATCCCAAACTTCTTCCCCATCCATACTTACTTCTTTACCCTTAACTTCTTCTCCATCCAAAACTTCTTCTTCTTCCTTATCTTCTTCTCTTTCCTTCACTTCTTCCCCATCCCAAACTATTTCTCCATCCTTAACTTCTTCTCCTTCCCTAACTTGTTCTTCATTCTTAACTTTTTCTCCTTCCCTAACTTCTTCTCCATCCTCCTTAACTTCTTCTGCTTCCTTAACTTCTTCTCCATCGTTAACTATAATCTCCTATCCTATCCATCCAAAATTTCTTCTCCTTCCTTAACTTCTTCTTCCATAATTTCTTCTCCATACTTAGTAGATTCTTCTCCATTCAAACTTCTTCTCCATCCCAAACTTCTTCCCCATCCATACTTTGTTCTTTATACTTAACTTCTTCCCATCCAAAACTTCTTCTCCTTCCCAAACTTCTTCTCTTTCCCTAACTTCTTCTCCTTCCTTAATTTCTTCTCCTTCTTCCTTAACATCTTCCCCATGCATAACTTCTTCTCAAACCTTACTTTCTTCGTCATCCCTAATTTCTTATCCTTCCTTAACTTCTTCTCCATCTATAATCATTTCTCCCTCCTTAACTTCTTCTCCATCCAAAACTTTTTCTTCTTCCTTAACTTCTTCTCCTTCCTTCACTTCTTCCCCATCCCAAACTATTTCTCCATCCTTAACTTCTTCTCCTTCCCTAACTTGTTCTTCATTCTTAACTTTTTCTCCTTCCCTAACTTCTTCTCCATCCTCCTTAACTTCTTCTACTTCCTTAACTTATTCTCCATCGTTAACTATAATCTCCTATCCTATCCATCCAAAATTTCTTCTCCTTCCTTAACTTCTTCTTCCATAATTTCTTCTCCATACTTAGTAGATTCTTCTCCATTCAAACTTCTTCTCCATCCCAAACTTCTTCCCCATCCATACTCTGTTTTATACTTAACTTCTTCCCATCCAAAACTTCTTCTCCTTCCCAAACTTCTTCTCTTTCCCTAACTTCTTCTCCTTCTTTAATTTCTTCTCCTTCTTTCTTAACATCTTCCCCATCCATAACTTCTTCTCAAACCTTAGTTTCTTTGTCATCCCTAATTTCTTATCCTTCCTTAACTTCTTCTCCATCTATAATCATTTCTCCCTCCTTAACTTCTTCTCCATCCAAAACTTTTTTTTCTTCCTTAACTTCTTTTCCTTCCTTCACTTCTTCCCCATCCCAAACTATTTCTCCATCCTTAACTTCTTCTCCTTCCCTAACTTGTTCTTCATTCTTAACTTTTTCTCCTTCCCTAACTTCTTCTCCATCCTCCTTAACTTCTTCTGCTTCCTTAACTTCATTCTACATCCAAAGTGTCTTTTCCATCGTTAACTATAATCTCCTATCCATCCAAAAGTTCTTCTCCTTCCTTAACTTCTTCTTCCTTAATTTCTTCTCCATACTTAGTAGATTCTTCTTCATTCAAACTTCTTCTCCATCCCAAACTTCTTCCCCATCCATACTTTCTTCTTTATCCTTAACTACTTCCCATCCAAAACTTCTTCTTCCTTAATTTCTTCTCCATACTTCGATTCTTCTCCTCCATTCCAAACTTCTTCTCCATCCTTAACTTCTTCTCCATCCCAAACTCCTTCTCTTTCCCTAACTGCTTCTCCTTCCTTAATTTCTTCTCCTTCTTCCTTAACATCTTCTCCATCCTTACTTTCTTCGTCATCCCTAATTTCTTCTCCGTAACTTCTTCTCCATCCATAATCATTTCTCCCTCCTTAACTTTTTCTCCATCCAAAACTTTTTCTTCTTCCTTATCTTCTTCTCTTTCCTTCACTTCTTCCCCATCCCAAACTATTTCTCCATCCTTAACTTCTTCTCCTTCCCTAACTTGTTCTTCATTCTTAACTTTTTCTCCTTCCCTAACTTCTTCTCCATCCTCCTTAACTTCTTCTGCTTCCTTAACTTCTTCTCCATCGTTAACTATAATCTCCTATCCTATCCATCCATAATTTCTTCTCCTTCCTTAACTTCTTCTTCCATAATTTCTTCTCCATACTTAGTAGATTCTTCTCCATTCAAACTTCTTCTCCATCCCAAACTTCTTCCCCATCCATACTTTGTTCTTTATACTTAACTTCTTCCCATCCAAAACTTCTTCTCCTTCCCAAACTTCTTCTCTTTCCCTAACTTCTGCTCCTTCCTTAATTTCTTCTCCTTCTTCCTTAACATCTTCCCCATGCATAACTTCTTCTCAAACCTTACTTTCTTCGTCATCCCTAATTTCTTATCCTTCCTTAACTTCTTCTCCATCTATAATCATTTCTCCCTCCTTAACTTCTTCTCCATCCAAAACTTTTTCTTCTTCCTTAACTTCTTCTCCTTCCTTCACTTCTTCCCCATCCCAAACTATTTCTCCATCCTTAACTTCTTCTCCTTCCCTAACTTGTTCTTCATTCTTAACTTTTTCTCCTTCCCTAACTTCTTCTCCATCCTCCTTAACTTCTTCTGCTTCCTTAACTTCTTCTCCATCGTTAACTATAATCTCCTATCCTATCCATCCAAAATTTCTTCTCCTTCCTTAACTTCTTCTTCCATAATTTCTTCTCCATACTTAGTAGATTCTTCTCCATTCAAACTTCTTCTCCATCCCAAACTTCTTCCCCATCCCTACTTTGTTCTTTATACTTAACTTCTTCCCATCCAAAACTTCTTCTCCTTCCCAAACTTCTTCTCTTTCCCTAACTTCTTCTCCTTCCTTAATTTCTTCTCCTTCTTCCTTAACATCTTCCTCATCCATAACTTCTTCTCAAACCTTACTTTCTTCATCATCCCTAATTTCTTATCCTTCCTTAACTTCTTCTCCATCTATAATCATTTCTCCCTCCTTAACTTCTTCTCCATCCAAAACTTTTTTTTCTTCCTTAACTTCTTTTCCTTCCTTCACTTCTTCCCCATCCCAAACTATTTCTCCATCCTTAACTTCTTCTACTTCCCTAACTTGTTCTTCATTCTTAACTTTTTCTCCTTCCCTAACTTCTTCTCCATCCTCCTTAACTTCTTCTGCTTCCTTAACTTCATTCTACATCCAAAGTGTCTTTTCCATCGTTAACTATAATCTCCTATCCATCCAAAAGTTCTTCTCCTTCCTTAACTTCTTCTTCCTTAATTTCTTCTCCATACTTAGTAGATTCTTCTCCATTCAAACTTCTTCTCCATCCCAAACTTCTTCCCCATCCATACTTTCTTCTTTATCCTTAACTACTTCCCATCCAAAACTTCTTCTTCCTTAATTTCTTCTCCATACTTTGATTCTTCTCCTCCATTCCAAACTTCTTCTCCATCCCAAACTCCTTCTCTTTCCCTAACTGCTTCTCCGTCCTCAATTTCTTCTCCTTCTTCCTTAACATCTTCTCCATCCATAACTTGTTCTCCATCCTTACTTTCTTCGTCATCCCAAATTTCTTCTCCTTAACTTCTTCTCCATCCATAATCATTTCTCCCTCCTTAACTTTTTCTCCATCCAAAACTTTTTCTTCTTCCTTATCTTCTTCTCTTTCCTTCACTTCTTCCCCATCCCAAACTTCTTCCCCATCCATACTTACTTCTTTACCCTTAACTTCTTCTCCATCCAAAACTTCTTCTTCTTCCTTATCTTCTTCTCTTTCCTTCACTTCCTCCCCATCCCAAACTATTTCTCCATCCTTAACTTCTTCTCCTTCCGTAACTTGTTCTTCATTCTTAACTTTTTCTCCTTCCCTAACTTCTTCTCCATCCTCCTTAACTTCTTCTGCTTCCTTAACTTCATTCTACATCCAAAGTGTCTTTTCCATCGTTAACTATAATCTCCTATCCATCCAAAAGTTCTTCTCCTTCCTTAACTTCTTCTTCCTTAATTTCTTCTCCATACTTAGTAGATTCTTCTCCATTCAAACTTCTTCTCCATCCCAAACTTCTTCCCCATCCATACTTTCTTCTTTATCCTTAACTACTTCCCATCCAAAACTTCTTCTTCCTTAATTTCTTCTCCATACTTCGATTCTTCTCCTCCATTCCAAACTTCTTCTCCATCCCAAACTCCTTCTCTTTCCCTAACTGCTTCTCCGTCCTCAATTTCTTCTCCTTCTTCCTTAACATCTTCTCCATCCATAACTTGTTCTCCATCCTTACTTTCTTCGTCATCCCAAATTTCTTCTCCTTAACTTCTTCTCCATCCATAATCATTTCTCCCTCCTTAACTTCTTCTCCATCCCAAACTTCTTCCCCATCCATACTTACTTCTTTACCCTTAACTTCTTCTCCATCCAAAACTTCTTCTTCTTCCTTATCTTCTTCTCTTTCCTTCACTTCTTCCCCATCCGAAACTATTTCTCCATCCTTAACTTCTTCTCCTTCCCTAACTTGTTCTTCATTCTTAACTTTTTCTCCTTCCCTAACTTCTTCTCCATCCTCCTTAACTTCTTCTGCTTCCTTAACTTCTTCTCCATCGTTAACTATAATCTCCTATCCTATCCATCCAAAATTTCTTCTCCTTCCTTAACTTCTTCTTCCATAATTTCTTCTCCGTACTTAGTAGATTCTTCTCCATTCAAACTTCTTCTCCATCCCAAACTTCTTCCCCATCCATACTTTGTTCTTTATACTTAACTTCTTCCCATCCAAAACTTCTTCTCCTTCCCAAACTTCTTCTCTTTCCCTAACTTCTTCTCCTTCCTTAATTTCTTCTCCTTCTTCCTTAACATCTTCCCCATGCATAACTTCTTCTCAAACCTTACTTTCTTCGTCATCCCTAATTTCTTATCCTTCCTCAAATTCTTCTCCATCTATAATCATTTCTCCCTCCTTAACTTCTTCTCCATCCAAAACTTTTTCTTCTTCCTTAACTTCTTCTCCTTCCTTCACTTCTTCCCCATCCCAAACTATTTCTCCATCCTTAACTTCTTCTCCTTCCCTAACTTGTTCTTCATTCTTAACTTTTTCTCCTTCCCTAACTTCTTCTCCATCCTCCTTAACTTCTTCTGCTTCCTTAACTTCTTCTCCATCGTTAACTATAATCTCCTATCCTATCCATCCAAAACTTCTTCTCCTTCCTTAACTTCTTCTTCCATAACTTCTTCTCCATACTTAGTAGATTCTTCTCCATTCAAACTTCTTCTCCATCCCAAACTTCTTCCCCATCCATACTTTGTTCTTTATACTTAACTTCTTCCCATCCAAAACTTCTTCTCCTTCCCAAACTTCTTCTCTTTCCCTAACTTCTTCTCCTTCCTTAATTTCTTCTCCTTCTTCCTTAACATCTTCCCCATCCATAACTTCTTCTCAAACCTTACTTTCTTCGTCATCCCTAATTTCTTATCCTTCCTTAACTTCTTCTCCATATATAATCATTTCTCCCTCCTTAACTTCTTCTCCATCCAAAACTTTTTTTTCTTCCTTAACTTCTTTTCCTTCCTTCACTTCTTACCCATCCCAAACTATTTCTCCATCCTTAACTTCTTCTCCTTCCCTAACTTGTTCTTCATTCTTAACTTTTTCTCCTTCCCTAACCTCTTCTCCATCCTCCTTAACTTCTTCTGCATCCTTAACTTCATTCTACATCCAAAGTGTCTTTTCCATCGTTAACTATAATCTCCTATCCATCCAAAAGTTCTTCTCCTTCCTTAACTTCTTCTTCCTTAATTTCTTCTCCATACTTAGTAGATTCTTCTCCATTCAAACTTCTTCTCCATCCCAAACTTCTTCCCCATCCATATTTTCTTCTTTATCCTTAAATACTTCCCATCCAAAACTTCTTCGTCCTTAATTTCTTCTCCATACTTCGATTCTTCTCCTCCATTCCAAACTTCTTCTCCATCCTTAACTTCTTCTGCATCCTTAACTTCTTCTCCATCCCAAACTCCTTCTCTTTCCCTAACTGCTTCTCCTTCCTTAATTTCTTCTCCTTCCTCCTTAACATCTTCTCCATCCATAACTTGTTCTCCATCCTTACTTTCTTCGTCATCCCTAATTTCTTCTCCTTAACTTCTTCTCCATCCATAATCATTTCTCCCTCCTTAACTTCTTCTCCATCCCAAACTTCTTCCCCATCCATACTTACTTCTTTACCCTTAACTTCTTCTCCATCAAAAACTTCTTCTTCTTTCTTATCTTCTTCTCTTTCCTTCACTTCTTCCCCATCTCTTCCCCATCCATACTTTGTTCTTTATACTTAACTTCTTCCCATCCAAAACTTCTTCTCCTTCCCAAACTTCTTCTCTTTCCCTAACTTCTTCTCCTTCCTTAATTTCTTCTCCTTCTTCCTTAACATCTTCCCCATGCATAACTTCTTCTCAAACCTTACTTTCTTCATCATCCCTAATTTCTTATCCTTCCTTAACTTCTTCTCCATCTATAATCATTTCTCCCTCCTTAACTTCTTCTCCATCCAAAACTTTTTCTTCTTCCTTAACTTCTTCTCCTTCCTTCACTTCTTCCCCATCCCAAACTATTTCTCCATCCTTATCTTCTTCTCCTTCCCTAACTTGTTCTTCATTCTTAACTTTTTCTTCGTCCCTAACTTCTTCTCCATCCTCCTTAACTTCTTCTGCTTCCTTAACTTCTTCTCCATCGTTAACTATAATCTCCTATCCTATCCATCCAAAATTTCTTCTCCTTCCTTAATTTCTTCTTCCATAATTTCTTCTCCATACTTAGTAGATTCTTCTCCATTCAAACTTCTTCTCCATCCCAAACTTCTTCCCCATCCATACTTTGTTCTTTATACTTAACTTCTTCCCATCCAAAACTTCTTCTCCTTCCCAAACTTCTTCTCTTTCCCTAACTTCTTCTCCTTCCTTAATTTCTTCTCCTTCTTCCTTAACATCTTCCCCATCCATAACTTCTTCTCAAACCTTACTTTCTTCGTCATCCCTATTTTCTTATCCTTCCTTAACTTCTTCTCCATCTATAATCATTTCTCCATCCTTAACTTCTTCTCCATCCAAAACTTTTTTTTCTTCCTTAACTTCTTTTCCTTCCTTCACTTCTTCCCCATCCCAAACTATTTCTCCATCCTTAACTTCTTCTCCTTCCCTAACTTGTTCTTCATTCTTAACTTTTTCTCCTTCCCTAACTTCTTCTCCATCCTCCTTAACTTCTTCTGCTTCCTTAACTTCATTCTACATCCAAAGTGTCTTTTCCATCGTTAACTATAATCTCCTATCCATCCAAAAGTTCTTCTCCTACCTTAACTTCTTCTTCCTTAATTTCGTCTCCATACTTAGTAGATTCTTCTCCATTCAAACTTCTTCTCCATCCCAAACTTCTTCCCCATCCATACTTTCTTCTTTATCCTTAACTACTTCCCATCCAAAACTTCTTCTTCCTTAATTTCTTCTCCATACTTCGATTCTTCTCCTCCATTCCAAACTTCTTCTCCATCCTTAACTTCTTCTCCATCCTTAACTTCTTCTCCATCCCAAACTCCTTCTCTTTCCCTAACTGCTTCTCCTTCCTTAATTTCTTCTCCTTCTTCCTTAACATCTTCTAAAAGTGATCCTAGCAAAGATCTCATTGATTTGATGAAGTCAAAGATAAAGTCAAGGGTCAACTCTGCAGCAGTCAAACAAGTCACTCAGACATTTGAGCTGAAGATTTAGAGTGTCTAACAGAAAGCTTAGGTAAAACCACTTTACCTTTTGCACTGCATAAAGCTTCTTCACTCATTTTGCAAAATGCCTCAAAAATAGTTTTAAACAAATCAAAAACAAAAGCATTTTGTTAAAGAACTTTCCTAACAAATTTATTAACTGATATAGCTTTGAAAGAAACAATTAAAAACACTTAGAATGTTTTAAGAAGTGTTTTTACGAGTATTTTAATCGATACAAACTTCTTTTAATCGATTAAAACCCTTTATGACCGATTGGAATTCGAATATAACAGGTCAGAATGAAATATAATCGATCAGATTTTAAATATGAGCGATCAGATTGCTTTAATCGATTAAAACACGTTTTAATCGATTAAAACCACTTTGGAAGTCAGGATGATCGATCAGAATGAAATTATGACCGATCGAGTTGGTTATGATCGATCAGAATTGAATTATGACCGATCAGACTTATTTCAATCGATTAAAACGTATTTCAATCGATTAAAATAACTTAGAAAATCTTTTTACAGAATTTCAATCGATTAAAACGAACTTTCAATCAATTAAAATGACTTGAAAATATATGTGCAGATTTTCAATCGATTAAAACGAATTTATATCAGCTAAAATAACTTAGAAAGTTTTATAAGAAGGTTTTTAAACAAATCAATCGATTAATACGCGATTCAATCGATGGTTTTATACTTAGAAAAAGTTTGTAAAATGTTTTAAGCTGATATAAGCGTGGTCATATCAGCTAAAACGATTCGTTAAAGAAGCAAGAACGCATTAATGGGTTGAAAGGACTTTTAACAGATTATAACGGCTATTTCAACAGATTAAAACAAACTTTCAACAATTAATTAATGCAGCTTTTTCTGAAAACTCTTTAAAAATAGTTTTGATTGAATTTTTTAAACATCAGATTGAATATCAGTTTTTACAAAAACAAAGCAATCAATTCAAGCAACTGTTAGCATCCTTTTTCCAAGAAAGAATTACAACTGTTTTGTGAAGTTCTTTTTGAAATCTTTCTTGAGGCATATTGCATCCTGTGAAGAAGAAACTTACTTGTGGATTAGCGTAATCCGGTTTGAGCTTTCTTGTTTCTTCTTTGTAAATTCTTTTTCATTACTTTGTATTGTGTTGTGCCTGGAATTTGGGCACAAGTTTTCTCTGCATGTTGGAAGTTGGTTGTGGAGGTTATCAAGAAGCTGGAATTTGGTTCTTGGTAAGAGGTTGAGCACGGGAGCTGGAATTTGGTTCTTGTGGTTATACGTGTGGTACTGGAATTTGGGTACTTGGGTTCTCTGCTGGCTGGAATTTGGTTGCGAGAGGTTTCCAAGAACTGGAATTTGGTTCTTGGTGGAGAGGTTAAGTGCGAGAACTGGAAGTTGGTTCTTGTGTTAGAGTAGGTGTAAGATTGTTGAGTCTGTAAAACATCTATTCTAGTGGAACCCAGCTGGAATTTGGCTGGAGACTGGACGTAGCCCTGGTATTGGGTGAACCAGTATAAAATACCGGTAAAATCTTTCTTAACCTTTCTCTCTTTAATTTCAGTTGCTGCGCCTAATATTGTTTGATTGCTTGGTAATTCAAAAAGATTGATTAGTAAACTTAATTTTTCGGATTAGATAATCTGTTATTCGTGAAAAACTTTCAAAGATCAATTCACCCCCCCTCTTGATCTAAAACTACTTTTCTAACAATTGGTATCAGAGCGAGGTGCTTGAAAGTTAATCAAGTTACTTCGATCCATGGCATTTTCTGAGGGAGCGTGCATTGATAGACCTCCACTGTTGAGTGGAACAGATTACCTATATTGGAAAATAAGGATGAAAATCTTCATTGAATACTGTTAGTATAAATGCTTGGAATGTTATTGAACAGGAAACTGATATTGCTAACGGAATCCAAGATGATTGTATTGCCAAGAATATCATCTTATCCACCCTTAACAGAGATGATCTTTTCAGGATTGCACACTGCCAAACTTGCTGCACAAATGTGGAAGATCCTTGAAAAGACCTATGAAGAAGCACTAGAAATATGCTTGATGGTCAACTCGGAATCATCAAATACCGAGTGTAAGTTCTGAATCTATAAACTATAGCTCATTACAAGATGCTTTCTTTGAAATACATGAAGTAGCAAAGAAATTAGAAACTGAAAACGAGAAAATTGAAAAGCATGAATAGGTTACTAGAAAACAAGATCATTATTCTTGAAAAGAAAATAATTGATGAAGAAAAGTTAGAATTAGAAAATAATATTGATTGCATGTGTAATGTTGAAGATTGCAAAAGCTGTCCCGAGTTACGAAACAAGTATTATACCTAGTAAAAACTTCATCTAAATTAGCACAAGGAAAGAATAATCTTGATAAGATACTTGATTCCCAAAAGTTAGTTATTGAACGTGGTGGTATAGGTTATACACCGACCATTGGAAAGAAAACCAGAGCATTCAAAAATTATTTTGCATATAGTAAAGCAGTTTCATCTCCATTTATCAAATGTTTTTACTTGCATGAAGAAAAGGCATTCAGTAAAATACTTGCGAGAATTAAAAAGTATGCTATTCCTAAAGGGAGAATGAAATGGGTTCCAAAGATTAATTCCTTCCAAATAACTCTGATCAGGACCCGAGTAATTATAAAGGGTACCAGAACAATTCTTAATTTGTTTTGCAGGAACAAGTCTGGGAATCCCTTGAAGATCGAAAGCTGTGAAATCAGGTTACGTAGTATTTAAATTAATTGTTTTAATTGATATAAACCAATATTAATCGATTAAAATAACTTACCGTACCATTTTAATCGATTAAAATGTCGAAATAATCGATTGAACTGATCTCAGGATTTTGGTTTAAATGTTTTAATCGATTATAATAATTGTATATCAACTAAAAACACTTAGGTATCAAAATTAATCGATTCATTTACGTTTTAATCGATTTAAATTACGGTATTATGCTATTAAGTTCATTACTGTACCAATCTAATCGATTCTTTTATAAACTAATCGATTAATTCACTATAGCTTGTTTTCAAACCCAATAGGAAAAATGAAATTAATAGATAATTAGTCGATTAATCGATTAATTAGGTTCTGAAAACAAGTTTTATAACATCTAATTGAAGTTTGATAGGCAAATTTAAATCAAAAACCTAGTTTCTTTGATAAACAAAATCTGCATAATACTTTCACCCACTAGTCAAAAATCTGTGTTTTTGTGCCTCTGTCTTTGGTAAAAGGGACAATCGCAGGTAAAGCTGAATCATTACAGTTTTGTCTCTTTAGATTTCAAAAATTTGAAATCCGTTTGAAATCCTTGGACTCACTATAGTATACATTAGAGAATCTAGTTTCTTGAATATTTGTATAATTCAAGTTGTCTATTATGGAACAACCAATTTCCTTTAAATGGCACATGCTGAACAAATCTTTAATTAGAAACTAAGACTAGTTGAATAAATGTGGGAAAGTTATTACCGATTGAATTACTGCAAACTTTACATGTGGGAAAGTTATCCATAGATGTAAAAGTTATTTTAACATAGCCATGATTCAAGCTGTAGACGTCTACATTTCTCCTAATACTTTACATGGAATGTTGCATGGTAATACACTGAAAATCAAAGAAATTATCAAAGAATAGACTGTAACTTTTCTTATAGACACTAGTTACAAACATGTCAAACTGTTAGGACTAAAAACATAGTTTATCAAAGATTTTTTCAGTGATAGTTGATTCTGGTAATAAATTGTTGATTACTAGGAAGTTCAATGAACAAATGTTTACATTAGATTTCTTGATATTACCTAGCAATATTTACGAAATAATCTTGAGCATGCATTGGTTCAAAACTCTTGGTGAAATTCATTGAGCTGTGCAACCACGATAATTTGCTTTAATCATCAATGTCACGAGGTGACACTGCAAGGAACCAATGCGGGACAGCAATTCAAAAATTGAATAACGTGGCACGAGAGAATGTGTGTACGGGGATAAATTTTAAGCTGTTGATTTGTTCTCTCGTTGAAGAAAAATATAGTGAAAGCTCTGGATTACTTGTCATCACTAGTTCTGCTGTGTTTGCATTACTAATCATTGCCCACTCTACCAGAATAAGTTTTTTGTTAATCACTTGTGCATATGATACCACTTGGAAACAACAAAGTTAAAAATGATTCATTCCTCAAAAGATAATGATGGCTGGTTCACTTGAAAGTGAGAATAACACCCATCATACTACATTAATAAGAATGCGGTTATTTGCTTGGATGATGACAATTGCGAGGGTTCAAAATGGGTTGGCTATTATGAAAGAAAATTCCTATCTCGGTACATCATTAACACTGTGATTCATGCAATTTATGGTATCATGCATTACTGTGTGGGATTTGGTCGGTACATGATTATGCCTCGGATGTGTAATAGGCGATGTTCCTAAAGAAACATTTAATTCAAGTGTGGTGTCAACCATGGGTATGTCATGCAGTCAATAGTAACGATAAGCTTGCTAAAAGATTTCTTTTCGGGAAAAGTTTACGTATGCATTCGTCGATACTGAGGAGAGACGGCAGATTGTTGACTCAAATAGTTGATAGAGCAAAATTGGTTCCAGCAAAAAGGAAAGCCTATTATCTTTTGATATTGGTGGGGATAAAATGAATGATCACCAAACTGGAAGATTTGCGGTTCAATCGGGGAAATTGGGATGACTAGTTCCCCTCATCATCTTTATCTTACGCTTATTTCTATCTTTATATTTTTTGCATGGATGTAATATTAGCTGGTGTTATACCAGGGACTCTTGATCTAGCTTTGGTTAAATATGATTTAGGATCTAAATCTAGATTGAGCTGGCTTAGATAGAAGTAGATGATAGATCCACTGAATCTCTTTTAAAGCTGGGCATTGATCGATTAAAACCTTTTAAAATTGTCTTATAACGGTAAAATTAGCCAAATTTAAAATTAAATCGATAGTGGTAGATTATCGGTGAAAAATAGTTGATATTGATCTAGACAATCAGTTCACTACATATCCAATAGATTAGATACGAGATATTCACATCAGATGTATCATGATTTTCAAAATCTGGTTGTTTTAGTTAATAAAACACTTTTTAATCGGTTAAATAAACTTAAACAACAAATTTCATTACTTTTCTAATCAATTTAAAATCGAAACAATCGATTGTTTTTATTAAAAATTCATGTTTTCAAAATCTTAAATGTTTTAATCGATTAAACCTTTCTTTCAATCGATTAAAATCATTTACCAAGATCATTTTAACTAGATTATGCTCTATTTTTAATCGATTTTTATTACGGAAAAGGAAAATTAAAGGCTTTAGTTAATGGTTGTTCCTGTAACATGCTACTAAAGCATGATTCCCTTATCTTTACACGTGTTAATTGTATTCATTACAAACGTGTTAATGGAGATAAGTTTGAATCAACTTTAATTGATTCTATTCATGAGTGAAATATTGATTCACTTTGTATTTTCAAAAACTTGAGCATATTTTTCGAAACCTTACATTTTATTCTTTTCTCTTCTATTCCCTATTTTTGATGAAGTCAAAAGGGGAGAAATAGTTGCATCACTTTAAGATAAATTTTAGTGCAACGAGTTTAGGGGAGAAAATAAGTTTTAGGGGGAGAAATAAAACTTTATTACATTCTTATATTTCTCACTTAACTGCATTATCAAGTGACTTATTTTGCGAGAGATTGTTTTTTCAAAATGGTGTTTGTCTTCATCAAATAGGGGAGGCTGAAAGTGATCCTAGCAAAGATCTCATTGATTTGATGAAGTCAAAGATAAAGTCAAGGGTCAACTCTGCGGTGAGTCAAACAAGTCACTCGGACATTTGAGTCGAAGATTTAGAGTGTCTAACAGAAAGCTTAGGTAAAACCACTTTACCTTTTCCACTGCATAAAGCTTCTTCACTCATTTTGCAAAATGCCTCAAAAATAGTTTTAAACAAATAAAAAACAAAAGCATTTTGTCAAAGAACTTTCCTAACAAATTTATTAAGCGATATAGCTTTGAAAGAAACAATTAAAAACACTTAGAATGTTTTAAGAAGTGTTTTTACGGTATTTTAATCGATACAAACTTCTTTTAATCGATTAAAACCCTTTATGACCGATTGGAATTCGAATATAACGAGTCAGAATGAAATATAATCGATCAGATTTTAAATATGAGCGATCAGATTGCTTTAATCGATTAAAACACGTTTTAATCGATTAAAACCACTTTGGAAGTCAGGATGATCGATCAGAATGAAATTATGACCGATCGAGTTGGTTATGATCGATCGAATTGAATTATGACCGATCAGACTTATTTCAATCAATTAAAACGTATTTCAATCGATTAAAATAACTTAGAAAATCTTTTTACAGAATTTCAATCGATTAAAACGAACTTTCAATCGATTAAAATGACTTGAAAATATATGTGCAGATTTTCAATCGATTAAAATGAATTTATATCAGCTAAAATAACTTGGAAAGTTTTATAAGAAGGTTTTTAAACAAATCAATCGATTAATACGCGATTCAATCGATTGTTTTATACTTAGAAAAAGTTTGTAAAATGTTTTAACTGATATAAATGTGGTCGTATCAGCTAAAACGATTCTGTTAAAGAAGCAAGAATGCATTAATGGGTTGAAAGGACTTTTAACAGATTATAACGGCTATTTCAACAGATTAAAACAAACTTTCAACAGATTAATTAATGCAGCTTTTTCTGAAAACTCTTTAAAAACAGTTTTGATTGAATTTTTTAAACATCAGATTGAATATCAGTTTTTACAAAAACAAAGCAATCAATTCAAGCAACTGTTAGCATCCTTTTTCCAAGAAAGAATTACAACTGTTTTGTGAAGTTCTTTTTGAAATCTTTCTTGAGGCATATTGCATTCTGTGAAGAAGAAACTTACTGTGGATTAGAGTAATCCGGTTTGAGCTTTCTAAGTCTCTTCTTTGTAAATTCTTTTTCATTACTTTGTATTGTGTTGTGCCTGGAATTTGGGCACAAGTTTTCTCTACAGCTGGAAGTTGGTTGTGGAGGTTATCAAGAACTGGAATTTGGTTCTTGGTAAGAGGTTGAGCACAGGAGCTGGAATTTGGTTCTTGTGGTTATACTGTGTGGTACCTAGAATTTGGGTGCTTGGGTTCTCTGCAGCTGGAATTTGGTTGCGAGAGGTTTCCAGAACTGGAATTTGGTTCTTGGTGGAGAGGTTAAGTGCAAGAACTGGAAGTTGGTTCTTGTGTTAGAGTAGGTGTAAGATTGTTGAGTCTATAAAACATCTATTCTAGTGGAACCCAGCTGGAATTTGGCTGGAGACTGGACGTAGCCCTGGTATTGGGTGAACCAGTATAAAATACCGGTGAAATCTTTCTTAACCTTTCTCTCTTTAATTTCAGTTGCTGTGCCTAATATTGTTTGATTGCTTGGTAATTCAAAAAGATTGATTAGTAAACTTAATTTTTCGGATTAGATAATCTGTTATTCGCGAAAAACTTTCAAAGATCAATTCACCCCCCTCTTGATCTAAAACTACTTTTCTAACATCTTCTCCATCCATAACTTGTTCTCCATCCTTACTTTCTTCGTCATCCCTAATTTCTTCTCCTTAACTTCTTCTCCATCCATAATCATTTCTCCCTCCTTAACTTCTTCTCCATCCCAAACTTCTTCCCCATCCATACTTACTTCTTTACCCTTAACTTCTTCTCCATCCAAAACTTCTTCTTCTTCCTTATCTTCTTCTCTTTCCTTCACTTCTTCCCCATCCCAAACTATTTCTCCATCCTTAACTTCTTCTCCTTCCCTAACTTGTTCTTCATTCTTAACTTCTTCTCCTTCCTTAACTTCTTCTTCCTTAATTTCGTCTCCATACTTAGTAGATTCTTCTCTATTCGAACTTCTTCTCCATCCCAAACTTCTTCCCTGTCCATACTTTCTTCTTTACCCTTAACTTCTTCTCCATCCAAAACTTCTTCTTCTTCCTTAACTTCTTCTCCTTCCTTCACTTATTCCCCATCCCTAACTATTTCTCCATCTTTAACTGCTTCTCCTTCCCTAACTTGTTCTTCATTCTTAACTTTTTCTCCTTCCCTAACTTCTTCTGCATCCTCCTTAACTTCTTTTGCTTCCTTAACTTCATTCTACATTCCAAGTTTCTTCTCCATCCTTAACTATAATCTCCTATCCTATCCATCCAAAAGTTCTTCTCCTTCCTTAACTTCTTCTTCCTTAATTTCTTCTCCATACTTAGTTGATTCTACTCCATTCCAAACTTCTTCTCCATCCCAAACTTCTTCCCCATCCATACTTTCTTCTTTATCCTTAACTTCTTCTCCATCAAGAACTTCTTCTTCCTTAACTTCTTCTCCTTCCTAAACTTCTTCTTCCTTAATTTCTTCTCCATACTTCGTTCTTCTCCTCCATTCCAAACTTCTGCTCCATCCGAAACTTCTTCTCCATCCTTAACTTCTTCTCCATCCCAAACTTCTTCTCATTCCCTAACCTCTTTTCCTTCCTTAATTTCTTCTCCTTCTTCCTTAACATCTTCTTCGTCCATAACTTGTTCTCCATCCTTACTTTCTTCGTCAACCCTAATTTCTTCTCCTTCCTTAACTTCTTCTCCATCCATAATCATTTCTCCCTCCTTAACTTCTTCTCCATCCCAAACTTCTTCCCCATCCATACTTTCTTCTTTACCCTTAACTTCTTCTCCATCTAAAACTTCTTCTTCTTCCTTAACTTCTTCTCCTTCCTTTACTTCTTCCCCATCCCAAACTATTTCTCCATCCTTAACTTCTTCTCCTTCCCTAACTTGTTCTTCATTCTTAACTTTTTCTCCTTCCTTCCCTTCTTCTCCAACCTCCTTAACTTCTTCTGCTTCTTTAACTCCATTCTACATCCCAAGTTTCTTCTCCATCCTTAACTATAATCTCCTATCCTATCCATCCTAAAGTTCTTCTCCTTCCTTAACTTCTTCTTCCTTAATTTCTTCTCCATACTTTGTTAATTCTTCTCCATTCCAAACTTCTTCTCCATCCCAAACTTCTTCCCCATCCATACTTTCTTCTTTATCCTTAACTTCTTTATCTCTCTAAACCTTTCTCTCTTTTATTCTGCTGCTGTCTTTATTTTGATTGTTTGTTTTGCTTGATTCAAGAATTGGTCAGAACTCTTAATCTTTGAAATAGATAATCTATAAATTACAAAAATCTTTCAAAGATCAATTCAGCCCCCCTCTTGATCTCAACCTCCTTTTCTTACAATTGGTATCTGAGCAAGGGTCTTGAAAAATACTCAAGACTTTCGGTCCAAATCTTTCATGGCTGAAAACAAATTACCTTTTTCTGAGGGAGCTTCTATTAATAGACCTCCACTGTTTTGTGGTACAGATTATCCATTTTGGAAGATTAGGATGAAGATCTTTATTGAATCCATTGATAGGAATGTTTGGGATGTAATTGTTAATGGTCCATTAATTACAAAACAAGAATGGTCTAGTTTAAATGATGAAGAGAAAAGAAAAGTTCAAAGTGATTGTACTACTAAAAACATAATTACTTCTGCACTAAACATGGATGAGTTTTTCAGGGTTTCTCAATGCAAATCTTCCAAGGAAATGTGGGAAGTTCTCGAGGTCACTCATGAGGGAACGACTGATGTAAAGAGAGCTAGAAAGCATACTCTCATAAGAGAATATGAGTTGTTTAAAATGCAAATTGGAGAAAGTATTGCAGATGTGCAGAAGCCCTTCACTCATATCATCAATCATCTAATGGGCTTAGGTAAAACTTTTTATAAAGCGGAATTAAATATAAAAGTTTTGAAATGTCTTGACAGGTCATGGCAGCCTTAGGTCACAGCAATTTCAGAATCAAAAGACTTATCCATCATGACAACAGCTTCCTTATTTGGCAAACTCAGAGAACATGAGATGGAAATTAACATATTCAATGAGCAAGAAATCTCTGAAAAGAAAGGTAGAAGAATAGCACTCAAAGTTGAAGAAAAAGATCAAGAATCAGATAAAGAAAGTGAAATTCTTGGACTGCTAGTCCAAAAGTTTAACAAGTTTCTCAAGAGAAAGATTCAAGATAAAGAAAAACACAAAAGGTATGAAAAGAAATCTGATTCTTTTAACTATAAATGCTATGGTAGTGGTAAGCAGGGTCATGTAAGAATGGAGTGCCCAGAAAAGAATAAATACAACGATAAGAAAGAAGAAAAGATCAAAAGAAGAGCATATATAGCATGGGATGACAATGATACCTCATCAACAGAAAATTCTGATGATGAAGAAGCTAACTTGTGTCTAATGGCTAACCAGAACTATCAAACCAGTAGTGTAAGTTCTAACTCTTCTTCTAATTTTGTGAATTATAATTCATTACAAGAAGCATTTGATGAAATTCATGAAGAAACCAAGAAACTTCAAAAAGAAAATGATAGGCTAAAAGGCATGAACAATTGGCTAGAAAATAGAGTTGATTCTCTTGACAAGAAAATTCTTGAAGATGAAACTGATCTTGATTTCTTAAAATTAATCCATGAAAATTCTGATTGCGTATGTAATAAACCATGCAATAATTGTCCTGATTTACAAAAGAAGATTGATTTTTTGTCACAAACTGTTTCTAAATTTACACAAGGTCAAGCTAATCTTGATGTTCTTCTTGGGTCACAAAAACTTATTTTTGACAAATCTGGCATTGGATTTACATCTAGCAAGAAAATCAGAAAAACAATTGTAAATAGGAAATCATACTCATCATCTGTTAAATGCTTTTATTGTATGAAAAGAGGTCATTATGTTAAATTTTGTAGAATCAAGAAGTATGCTATACCAAGAGGTAGAATGAAGTGGATTCCCAAGAATTCATTCCAAATATCTTGATTGGACCCAATGATTACAATAAGGGTACCAGATATATGTTAAATCTGTTTTGCAGGAATAAAATCTGGAATTTCTTTGGTACCTAATAAGAAAATATTGATTCTGGATTCATGAACTGAGTATTTTAATTGATATAAAACTGTTTTAATTGATTAATTTCACTTACAGAGAATATCAAAAAAGTTGTCCGTACAATTTTAATCGATTAAAATACGAATTAATCGATTAAAATGTTTAGTATAGTTTTATTCTCTCTGTTTTAATCGATTAAAAAGGATTTACATCAGTTAAAACCATTAAAATGTCTAATTTAATCGATTCTTCTTCGTTTTAATCGATTAAAATTCTGCTGACATTTTATTAAATTTTTCAATACAAAAATAATCGATTCTTTTATGTTTTTAATCGATTATTTCACTGTTGCTTTTTCAAACCTAATATTCAAGATCAAATTAATTGGTTAATTTGTTGATTAATCGATTAATTCGTTCTTAGAAATCATTTTAATTACAGTCAATTGAAAAATTCTCAGATAATCAAGGACAAATTTCCAAGATTTATTGCTTATCAAATTCTGCAAGTGCATTTACTATATCATTTTGACCAAGTCAAAACTTATCCAAGAACACTTTAGCTGATGTACCCATTGCCCAATGCATGTGATTCTGCACTCAGTCAAGGGGACACTGCCAATTAAGACTGAAATATTGCAGGTTTGTCTTTCGGACTTCAAAAATTTGGAATCTGAACTTCTATTCATCAGAGAGAAATCAGGTTCTGCATTTTCAGGTTCTCCTCTTCTTTTCTTCTCTCTTCTCTCGCACTCACATACTATACCTATCAAATTTCTTCTCAAATTTGTGCTACAAGATGCTTAAGAGATTAAAATCATGAAAGAAACATAAGGGGGAATCTTCCTCTGCTGTTAGCCAAGCTGGAGGACATGTTGAAGCATGGTTCAATGGAGACATTGACAGAATGAACAACTTCATTTCCAACTTCAGTCAAAAGCAACTGGTAATTCCTAAATATATTAAGTTTGCTTGGTTGGATGAAGAAGGCTTTACCTCTTTGAGAAGAAAATTAAAAAGACAAAAGTTAGAGACTTTTCTGGAGCACACTGGCAACATTCAACCTGATTTAGTAAGGGTATTCTATGCTAACCTTACTGTCAGCGGCTCCACTCTAAGGTCTCAAGTCAAAGGTATAAATTTGGTGATCACTCTTGAGGTGTGGGAAGAAGTGGCTGGTCTTCATGATGTTGGTGTAAAGGTATCAAGAGGTAATATTGCAGAGTTACCTGATTTTAACAAAATTCAATTTTTCCGTAGCTGTCTCAAAAATCAGAATGATTCTGTAAGAGCTCTTAACGCTGGGAAAATGGAGCTTGAACCAAGGATTCTTGCTTTTATCATTGCGTGGATGCTTACTCCGAGAGGAAGTAATCATGCGTTACTTAATGAGGGAGATTTAGCTCTTATGTATTGCATTGAAAATAATAACCGTGTAAATTGAATTTTTGTTATTAAGGATCACATGATAAAAGCAAAAAGATTGGCTGATTATAAACTTCCATATGCTATGCTGATTAATCAATTTTTTAGATACTTTGAAGTAGATCTTGCAGGAGAATATGTGGAAACTCCAAAGGCCTCTAATAATATTGATGATTACACTTTACGAAAGATGGGATTTATCAAAATTGATGGAGAGTGGATCTCTAAGATTGATGATGGAATGTCTGAAGATGAGGAAGAAGATGAAGAAGAAGCTGATCAAGGTCAAATTACTTCTTCTCCGGCTGCTACTGAGGTTCCTGAATCCATTGGTGGTCAAGCTTCCTATGAGAACATGGAGATCATACCATACATGGAGCAACCTGACCGTGGATCTCCTCTCTCCCAGTTTGAAAGAACCATGCTCTCTCTGTTGAAACATACAAGGACATGAATGTTAAACTTACATGGACATGAAGCTTGTTGATTTTGATGATGATTCAAGAACAAAGGACTTAGAGAGTTGAAGACTTGTATTCTTATGTAATAACTCTGTTTTGATGATTTTGAGTCTGTAATATTAGAGTCTAAGATAGCCAGCACATAGTCTACACTTTAGAAGCTTCAAAAACTCATTTTTATCAAAAGCACACTGGTTTAATCGATTAACATGCTAAATAATCGATTATTATAGAGAGAAAAACCATTTTCTGTATCATCTCTCTGGAATAATCGATTAACAGCTGAAATAATCGATTAACAGCCTAAATAATCGATTAACTGGCGTGGTTATGGGTTCCTGGTGATTTTGGCTCTGTAATAATCGATTAACACTCAAGATAATCGATTATTTCAGTCAGATATGCATTTTGAATTTCAAAATTGGACCAAGTTTCGAAAACCCTAGTCCCAATACACCAGGTTTCGAAAATCCCCAATTCCCAAACCCTAATCCGTCTACTTAAGGTTCTCTAAGGCTCTTTGCAAAATGAACAACCTTTTTCAAACAAAAGTTGACAGTTGTGACTGCCAGAGAACTGTTTGTTGGAGGAAAAAGGGGCTTTTGGAACCTAGTGTGGGCTAGAAGCGATAAGAATACTAAGTGGAGTTCTTGGTGGATTGTGTGTTGAGCCGTCTCTAGGGAGAGCTATTTTTCATCTCTTGTGTGACTCAAGAGAGGTGTTTTCATTACCTTATCTTTTCATTTTGTAATCTGCTTGTATAACTTTGATTATATTGACAGCGTTAATCCTCTGTTTGAGTGATTAATAACTGGACGTAGGGTCTTTTGATTCGAACCAGTATAAATCTTCTGTGTAAGACTCTATCCTTACTCTATTTACGTTTACACATCATTTTAATCGGTAAAATTTTGGGGAAAATTTTTAAAACCTAATTTTTGTTAAGAAACCAATTCACCCCCCCCCCCTCTTGGTTTTTGTCCGTTCTCGCAAACATTCCGCTACGTGATTCTAACAAGTGGTATCAGAGCTTGCTTTGATAGTCATTCAATTTTTTGAAAATGGCTGGACAAAATCAAACGTTTGGCGAGGGTGCTTCTATCAATAGACCCCTACTTTTTGCGGGTCAAAATTATCCTTTTTGAAAAGTTAGAATGCAAATCTTTTTAGAGTCTGTTGATAGAGGTGTTTGGGACGTTATTTTAAATGG